CTCTCTCTCTCTCTCTCTCTCTCTCTCTCTCTCTCTCTCTCTCTCTCTCTCCCTCCCTCCCCTCCCTCTTTCCTATTCTTTTTCTTTCTCCCCTTCTTCCCCTAAACTGTTTTGTGTATCTGTATGTGTATGTATGTGTGTGTGTGTGTGTGTGTGTGTGTGTGTGTGTGTGTGTGTGTGTGTGTGTATACGGGTGCATTTATGTGTTTGTGTTTGTATGGGGTGAGCGTGTGCTTGTGTGTGTGTGTCTTCATCTCTCTTCATACATGTTAGTAGTTAGTATGTTTTCAATGTACAGACTTCAACAAAAGTTAAGGACCACTTTGACAGACAGTCCTAGCTTTTAAAAATATCCGTAAAAAAGACAGCTAGGAATTTTTGCTCTGAAAGTGTTAATGGGTTACCAGTGCGTACTGCAAAGCCTCCTAAAGGACCAAAACCACCACGTGCAGCACGGAAATCCTCGGGGAATTTTAGCCAAATTTGCTGTTTTTTATCGACTTGTCTGCGACACCAAGGACTTTACTCAGTTAAAATTTCTGGCGCACGTCATAAACGGACGTACGGTCTCAAACTGTGCTCACTTTGGTGGCAATGTAAGCCACCGTTGGCGCAAAATCCGGTATCGATATAGTGCTGAACAATAAATGTGTTCTTTAGACTTTTTTTAATAAAGAAGAATAAGAAGTTAAAACCCTTCTTACTGTCCTCTACACGGAGGAGGGGGGGGGGGGCTCTCGTTGTCTAGAGGTTATGTTATTTGCCTCCTGATCAATACATCCGAAACCTTCTCGAAAAATGTGTTCTTTCATGTCCTTTCCTGCTCTCTAACCATGTTCTGTCGTCTGCTTTTGTCTCCACTTTCTTCCCACTCCTCCCCTCCTCTTTGCTCTCTCCTCTGGGCTCCTGACTCTTTCTGCAGCCTTTTTACAGCTACCCCTTGACTTCTTCTTACTGCTGTCTTTCAGCCACACCCCTTATCTCATGGTAGGTAAGATCTTATTCCTAGCCTTCTCGGATAAGGACGAAAAATCTCTAAGGGCCCTGTGTCCAAGCTGTGCACGTTTAAGACCCTTTGGTGGTCCTAGAATCGACAAGAGCAGGCCTCGGTCGCCACTCGTGCAAAATTCAAAATTCCTACCAAACTGAAAATGTTTAATGAGTTCCGCGCGCTCATAATATGACCTTATGCAGTTGCGAGCGCCGTAAAACACTTTCTAAAACAAAACTGTCCTCCACAGGTTTGGACTAGGCCACCTGCCAGCTTCGTGCCGAGATCGACGTATGGTAGCGTACATCCGGGCACTCAGTCGCTTCACTGTGAGAATCCTCACACGTCACACGAGCATCCACAGACCCAGCTACTTCCCGTGTGGGAACATGCGAGGCACGGACAAACTGCGGCTTGCCACAGGTAATCTTTAAAAAAAAAAAAAGTAAAGACAAGAACAAGTTTTAAGAACAGCAAATTTTCCTGAAAAGTTTGAAGAATGAAAAGTTTGAAGAAAGCAAATTTTCATGAAAAGTTTGAAGAAAAGCAAATTTTCATTAAAGGTTTGTAAAAAAAATGTTTTTCTGGAAAAAAAAATTTGAGAAAAGCAAATTTTCAGATGCAATGATTCAGTTGTGATCCATCCTCCCTCCCCCTTTCCCCCACCCCTCGTTTTCCTTTCCTCTTGCCAATCTTGCCAACTAAGACGACTTTCACTTAGCGTCAGTAGCCAAATTTTTTTGCCATTTGTCCACGTAGCTTGGAATAAAATTAAAATGCATGCTTTAAGAACAGACCGGAAGATTTGATACATTTTTGTCGGAAAAAATAATGAAAATGGTATTTAAAATATGATAATGATGCAAGCAAAAATATTTAGGAAGTCTTTTTCAGATAAACTAGGATTGGGTTCCGAGGCCTGTCTAAAAAAATCAGCTTTGTTAATCAAAAAGACACACTGAATTTTGAACTATCAATTCATTGTTGATCTCTTATCATGTTTCAAGCCATCTCCACATATATAAATATATATATATATATATATGTTTGTGTATGCTTTTCAAGGTACAGGGGAGGAGGGGTGTGGCATTGATTTATAGTTACTTCGATATATAAATATCAGAATTCAAATGTGCGTGAAAAACACATTTAAATTTTTTTAAAGTACATTGTAAGTCAGTTGTAAGGAACAATCGTATAAAATCCCAGATTTGCAAAAGGTGTACATGGTTAATGTTAGCCGGGTTTGCTGCAGTTTATTTTGGCACTTTTCAATCTTTTTTTAAAAAAAAGATTTTTACATTTTTATCTGGCAGGGTTTGCGTGGATCCCCGGCAAGATCACGGACATGCCTTGCCCTATAGAGAACTGTCCGTACAACCGTCGAAGTCACAGGGTCTACGGTCACATCCGCATCATGACCAACAAACACGTAGTCTACGATCAGTTCGAAGCCGCTCAGACCCGCGCCCAGTTCTTCTATGACAACGCCAACAACAGCCGCGGCTTGCCTGTAGTCCAGTGTATCAGCCTCGACTACAGTATTATGGACTCGGACATGGCCTATTTAAACTGCATCACACACGACTCGAATCTGTGTGCGATTCTCCAAGAGGAGATGGAAGAGTTGAAAACAACGTACAACAGCATCCCTTTGGACATTTGGCAAAGCTGCGAGGACTTATCTGTCGTCATTTCTCACCCTCATGGCATGGCTAAAACTGTCAGCGTTGGGAGCCATCACTCGTTTGATGTCACACCTACTCGTGCGCACGCGCACTACTACAGCAGCGCCACCTGTCCCGGAAGTTCGGGTGCCCCGGTATTTTATGTCAGTCGACGTGAAAAGGGAGCCCACCCAATGTGGATTCCAGCAATTCACAGCTTCCATTGTAACATTCTGCAAATGAACTGTGGGTTTAAATGAACGTGACTTCACTGGAATTTTATTACCATGATGACTATTTTGTTCCTCCGGATTTTTGCCTTAATTCTGGGTGTGGATACCATAACAATCCTGTTTGTCAGTCGCTTGCAACTGTTTGTACTCCCCGAAATGTTTTTGTATTACCCTGAACTTCCTTTTTCCATGAATAATTGGAATGTCAGCGATTGAGACACGTTGAATCTTAACTGTTACCGGTACTGTACGTGTAATGAGGCTGAATTTTTCAGAAAGATTAAATCTTTTAGGATGTAGCGGATACATTCGTCTGATCAGCAGCCAAGCAAATGCATTTTTGAGCACATTTCAAACCGTTATACGAAAATCCGAAACACTAGTTTGCATATTTCATAGAATGCTTTTAGAGCTTAATAAGAAGAAAACAAAATTGAAAAAAAAATGTTAAAACAATGAAGTTATGCCCCAAAACATCGCATCTTCAAGAGGTTTTTAATTACAAAAGTGCACGCCCTCTATAAGGTAATTGAAACAGAAGTCTCTTCCACGGTACACTGGCCATCGTCACGAACCGTACTGAAGAGTTTCTTAAGAGGTAGCGCTCATATGACCTTATGCAGTTGCGAGCGCCGTAAAACCCTGTACTATAAAAAAAAAAGAAAAGTTTCTTAACCTGAACTTCGTCGTGGTAGACGTTTCCAGGCTCTCGCCCTGTATTTTAAGTGAACGAATTTAGACACCGTTTGTACTAAAACAAAAAGGATAAATGTGGGTGACATTAATATTAAAAGAAAGTGGATGAATTTTCATAACGTGTATGCTAAATGAAGGTGGGTAAATTTGTATGCAAAGTGGCGTCGAGAGTCTAGTCGTTAGGCTGCCGGACTTCACCGAGTATTCTCGTCCGCGTCATGATAGATTTCACACCCATTTCAGCACATTCTATGGTCAATGTGGATCAATTCTGGTTCAGCTGAATTAACAATAATATTAAGCGTCCTACTTTCTGGTAATAGACTTAGATGAGTGAATCCTATGGGTGGAAACTAGCACAAAAATTTGTACGGGATAAATCAGGAGAGAAATATCTTTCCGTACACTTATGAGCAAGTCTTATTCATTTCTGGAGTATCTCAAAGACTAACGGTGTACAATACCTGAACATTTGCAAAGGTGTTAATTGACACGTAAATACCTCCTGTAGGGAGAAGGAAAAAAATGCTGTGTTGGGTGCAATGCGAACCTACGATCAGGCACATCCTAATAAAGTGTCTAGACATAGGAGACGCCAAAATGAAATATTTTTAAAGAACTCATTTGAAGAAAGTGTTCTCTATCGTTAATCCCAACAGAATTCTCTATATTACAAAGACCACTGGTCTTAACAGAAATGTGTAGTGTTATTTTAACATGTAAGTTGCTGCTTTTAAAACTGAATTTTTAATATATAATTTAGATACTTCAACCCTTCTGTCTTTGTAAGTAAAACCAAGCCGTGCTGTGAAGTAACGTGGAAATAATTAACTTAAGTCCGTGCGCTCATATGACCTTATGCAGTTGCGAGCACGGTAAAACTCTTACCAAATTAATTAAAAGGACGCTGAAAAGAACAAATTATCTTCTAGTGTTTTGACTTAATAGGATCGAATCGCAATAAATATTTCTTGTGTAAGAGACATATAACTATCTATTGATATGTCTGTACGTATCTACTTAAAGTTTTGATGAGAATCCTAAGCTGAATTCTCTCTGATATATATAT